CGCGAACTCTTGTCAGGTAGGAACTCAAATATTTTTCCAAGAGGGGCGAGAGCGCAAGCCTTTTGTCGCGTGTATACGTTTCGAGCAACCTGGAACTATCCAACGGGGCCCCTAAATCCATAATCCACAGTTATTATAAGTCTGTTATTTCTTCGAGAGGGATTTAACGCCTCGCTCAGTTCCGCTCGGACGCCGGTAGGTCGATTTTTCCTTTTTTTTTCCCTCTCTCGCTTGGGTCGAAGCGATTTTTTCCCCGGTGCCACCCTGTTGATTCTTCGCTCGCGCTTCGTATTTTTATTGGATCCTAACGCGATTGCTCGAATAGAATCTAGTTCGCAATTTTGAAAACAATTTTCGTGGTGATCTTTCTAATTGGAAGTCTCCTTTTGAATCAAACGTCGAAATACTAATCAAATAACTGAAGAATTATGAAACGAGTATCAATTCCTTTTCGTCTAATTTCAGTTCAGTAATCCATGATCTTGATACTTAACGTTTCTTGAAGTAACGAGATTACCCTGTCGCGGGAATAAAGCAATAAAAGGAAGAGCACTTAGCTTTCCTCTTTTTCGTTGGTAGAAAAAAAAGTGCGGTGTAATTCTTCTCGGGTGACAGCGCGAAAATTCCTTCGCGCGGAAGGTAACTAAAGGCTGGGAAACCGTTTCAAACGGTATTTCTTGAATTCCCGATTGGCGGTGTATTTGATTAATTTTGTCAAGAAAAACGTCAAATATTCCCAAGAACAAGCGACAAACGTTTGCGCCGGCGGACCGAGTGGGTTCTTGAGAAGAAATCCTCGGGGATCTGAGTGTAAGCAAAGGAGACCCAAGATCGTTGAAGAAAAACCCGCGAGTGTGTAACACTTTTGCAGCGTTACTTCGCGAGAATAAACGTCACGCGCTGAAGAATGGGTCACAAAGAGACCTGCCCGCTGAAGGTGCAGCACCGCGAACGCTTTTTGTAATCTAGAAATATTATATTCACCGCTTTGTAACGGGAGAAGTTAACCAGCGCTTTTGTTGTTAAAAAGGAGCCGCGTTGTAATCATTATTCTTAATGTCTTCTGTTCAAAGGACCCGCCAGCTAAATCGTAGATGAATTCTACGTTAAGCGATGGCGGAACGCGCTTTTTAGAATTAATAGATCGCCGGAGAAACATGACTCGAATTGTATCGATTAAAGATGAAAATGATCCTCTAATCTTATTTAACATTCAGATAAGAACCTATATCGAATCCTAGGTTAAAATTCACCGATTTTTTATTTAGATTAAATTGTGTTGTAATATTGTTTCTTTGAAGATTGATGGATTGAAAAGAATTCTTTTTAAAAATCTTTGGTAACGATAGTTGGATGATAAGATCATTTTTAAATAAATAAATGAATAATTTTAAAATAAAATAGGCCAGCCTGCAATGAAACTATAACAATTTGTTAAAAAAGTGGTTGAAAGTAGGTCATTTTATTGTAATTTGTAATTTTACCGCTGATTTCAGTTTGATGAAGCTTCGTTTTGTATTGAATCTTTACAAAACTCAAAAGTTCGATCGGTAAACGGTCGGGTCCCCTTTCTACAGGGTGGCAAAAAGGAAATCGCGGCGGCTCTGGGGAGGTCGGTAGGAAAAGCGACGCTCGGGACCGCTTTTACGGCAATTGAACGCGATTAGGGAAGCCGTCCGTAAGCACGGGATCGAGAGATCGTCATCTGCTTATGACAGGAGCGCGTCATAATCCGCATTGTGCGTAATACGGTGTTCACGGGGGCGCGAATCCTGATCGCGGCGCATTGTCGCCCGCCGCGGAAGACAATAGGCACACGGTTCTGTCCGATTTAGCGCATAACGCAAGCTTGCCAGTCGGGTTATCTTCTGCGTTTGCCAGCGTCACCGTTTCGAGTAGCTAATAACACTTGCCAACAGAGAAACAAAGTTCTTTCGATTCGAACGGCGTCTGTCTTCTTTAACCCTCCAACCTTGGGCGATTTAGCAACCACGTTCCACTTATTTTATCAATTTCAGTTGGCAACGTATTGAATCTTTGAACGATTGAAAGAAAAGCCTTTCAAGTAATATGTATTGTGTATTGCTAAAAAAACTGCTGAAATAGAAACAAGAAAGCAAGAACTTCGTGTGAAAATTGGAACATCTTTGAAAGTATATCAAGAATGCTTTCGGTGTCAAAACTTCTTTCTTTAATCTGCCGATAATTTCCTTACAACTCTCAAGATTAAAGAAACTCTACAATTAACTGACTCTAGAATCAACTGCTAACTAAACACGTCAAGATTATTTCAAGCTTCATTTCAAATGACAAAAACAAAGAGAACTGTTCTGTGAGAGAACAATAACACAGGAAGTCCTCAATCCTCACGGTTCCCAAAGGAACCGGAAGACGGTTAAAAAAGATGTGCCAGAAGATTCTTTCGCGGTTGGAACGAGGAAAGGAGGAGGCGATTGGCATTCGGTCGGCGGGTGCGAAGGGTGAAAAGAAATTTTTTGAGGGTGGCCGATCATCCCGCTAATATTCGAAAAATTAGACAGACGGTGGCGGCCACTTGAGGCACGGTCCGCTGCACGGGGGCCCCTTAAAGTGCTTTCGTTGCATTCTCGGCCGCCGCGCAGCTCTCCCCGACAATGGAGGCCACGGTTTTAAGGGATGCAAGGGGGACCGGTGCTGCGCCGGGTTACGGACCACTCGAGCAGGAGGTTACAAGCGGGCAACATACAGGTCAGGCCGCGTGCTTTTGATTCCTCGCGATAAAAATCGAGCTTATCTCGTACCCCATTTCACGCATCCCTCTAATTTCACTCTTTGTCCTACCGCGGAATCGCTCTCGATCTCCTTTTTCCTGTTTCTTTCTTGCCCTTCTTTAACGAGGCGACATCTACCCTTAACTTATAAGGCGATTTCAACACCAGGTTTACGGAATGCGCTAATTTCACGTGTATTGGATTTTACAAACATTATTTTGTGAAACTTTACGTCCTGTCTGTTGCTAACGTTAGAAGTACCAGACTGGTCAAAACCCATTCTCGACTTCTTCCTTTATAGTGACTAAGCAGGTACAGATGATTGTCTGAGAAACTATTAAAGAAGCTGATTTAGTAATACCCGGACTAAAATACAAATCAATTGAAGTCTTAACAACGATTCTAGTTTCTATAAAGCAATTTTGTAAAATCGATTTAAGACCTCAGTAGTCTTAGTGTTGAATTCCTAATTTCCAACACCTAAACGAGGGAACATCAATTCTCCTAGAAACAATACAATTAACTGTACAATAAGTACCTATAAATCTAGTCTTAAATGAAGATTCTAGGACAGAGTATTCGTTAGACGATAAAAAAAATTATGTCATTAAGTATACCCAATGCTAACCATTGCTTATGTAATTCTTCGTATTACTAAAACATCATTCTATTTAATCAATTATTCAATCAGTTGCATAATGCCTTAGATGATCATATTCCTCCGTGCCATTTGATCGAAACACGGGATTCGCATAAACATCGACACCGGCTCGTGAATACTTGACTGAACGTCTCGTCGGACGATTCCTGCTCAGGGATTTCCCGGGGTTCACGGAATCGACGCGCGTGGGTGCGAATCAACAACGACCCCGGAAGACGGATCGTTCGCGTTGTAACCACCGGGCCGGGGGTGCCGATAAAGGAGAACGAAAGGAAAAAACGGGCGGCAGGGGGAGGAGAGGAGAAGAAAAGAAACGCTTTGAATCGAGGAGTCCCTTCGCGCGCGCGCCTTCCGCGTGTGTTTTGTGCGCCGGCGGTGGCTGCGGCTGCGCCGGCGGCCGATGCGTAGGGCTGAGAGACCTTATCTAAAAGCCACGAAGAGCCACTAGACGAGGGAAGTACTCTC